TTTGTTTCATCTTTCGCACTACAGTCTAAATTACTTGTTAAAAGTTCTTGCTTTATCTTCTGGATTTCTGTTTCAAAAGTATATGAAGAAGGAATGAAGCTTTTCATTTCTACTAACATAGATGTTGGATTCATGACTAACGAGTTTGGTGCTGTTGTTGTTTGAATTGTTGTTGTGCCGATTGTTGAAATCATATCTTTTATACAAAATAAAAAATAAATAAAAATAAAACTAACTTTATTTTTTCTGTCTTAAGGAAATTCATGAAAATTCACGGGGGTGAAAAACAGGTGAGATCTCACCTCTTCACCTAAACATTATTTTGGTGAAAAATGACCAAATTTTGAATTTTCACAAAAGACCAAAAATAAACGCTTTACATGTATTTTTCAGCAACTTCGTCAAATAATTTTATAGCTTTCTATCTCATCTACTTCAAACGTTTCTTACCTTTCATGGGAGCACCATACTTTTTCAAACTTTCAAGTAGTTTCGTTTCTGCAGCTCTCATATCATTAACGAACACAACCTTGACTCTATTGACTGTAGAGTCATATCTTTGAGTTATTATATATGTTCTTCCTATCTTATATCTCTTTGTATGAAGTCCTTCGTTCTGAACGATGTAAAGTAAGCCTTCACTGCAACGTTCTGAGTCGAATGAACCATAAGTTATGAAGTTATATCCAACAACTGGTCAATCCATAACAAAACTATTGGTATAAGACTTTTGTCAATGAGATATGCTCTTGTTCCATGAAATGCTACTGATATCATAAGCTCAGGATTTTTGTCAAAATTTTCTGAGTTGAAGCATTTCTAACCCAGTCGTTTGTTTTCTTTCCAGATGGTGATAATGTCTGACAAAGAATATTTGTTGTATTTCTTTGATATCTTACGTTTAAATCACCTATTCTAACCACTTTGGTGTCATTGTCTATCTTTCTAACTGTTTCAAACTCAATGTTTGTCATTACTGTCTTTACATACAAAATAAAATTTTTCTTAGAAAAAATTAGCGTTATTTTTCTAACTAATGAAATTCATTATTTTTTGTGCTGAATTCAATAAAAATAAAGTTTATGTTAGCATGTTAGATCTAACATTCTACCCTAAAAATTATTTTTTATTTTTTCTATCTTAAGGAAATTCATGAGAATTCATGAGTTTTTTGACGAAGTGCAAAAGTTCACTTCGTGTCATAATGCAAAAAAATAATGCTGAAAACACACAAAATTCATGAGTTTTTTGACGAAGTGCAAAAGTTCACGCGTGTCATAATGCAAAAAAATAATGCTGAAAACACACAAAATTCATGAGTTTTGTGTGTTTTAGACCATGTTAGAAAACAGGTGAGATCTCACCTCTTCACCTAAAATATATTTTGTCTGATTTACATCTAATGAAAAAGTTTAGAAGAATTTTCTTATTCTTTCTGGCATATTTTTGTCTTTCCAGTACTCCCGCTCTAATGGTCCCAGATGTGTTGGCTTCGACTCTCTCAAGTTCTTAGATGGTATAACATCTTCAACACCTCCTTCATATCTTACTTTATAAGTGTCATCGTTTATGTTGTAGTCAAGTATTTCAATAACCACTCCTCGCTTTGCTTCGTCAATGGTTTCAGCAAGTTTGCCATTACTACTTTCAACTAATTTATGACGAGGATAAAACGCAATAGAGTCGTCAGCAGCTTTTATAAGATATCCATTACCTTGCGTAGAGTCTACGATATAATAGTTTCTACTTAACCTTAAACGTTTCTTTGTCAACGGTTTGTCGTCAAGAACTACACGAACTTTTGTACCAGGAATGAGGGTAAATTGTGTTGAATTTCTGATATTTTGTGTTTGGCTTCGTTTCTTTTGTATATACTTTTCTTCTTGTTGTTGTGTCATTGAATTTGGTGTATGTCCTGTTGTAGAATGTGTTGAGGAATTATATACTTCGAGAAAATGTTTCATTGTTTCTTCGGTAAAGTCTCGCTCTTGATTTAAATCTCTGAGCGTTCTTATGAAGCGGTTTATGATGCCGAGTATGTTATGGTTATGGTCTTCAGTAGTGTAGTGAGTTATGTTATGCTTAATGAGAAAATCTGTGATTTCATTGCTGAGATATGCACTGTCTTGGTCTGATGTTAAAGTACTTGGGCTATGTTCTGCTACAAACTTTTGTAAAACTCTTAACACTTCACGAGTTCCTTTATTTTTCATTGGATATGCATATGCTTTACGAGTGTTAACATTAATGAAGATGAGGAATGGTTTATGTCCTCCTTTTCTGCTTTGAATGAGTGTGTCAAATTGGTATGCGTCAGGAGCGTTGGAGTAAATTGGTAAAAAGTAGTCGTAAGGGTTTATTTTTGTTTGATGTACAACGTTTTTGTCAAAGAACCTTTTCACTTCAGCTCTGTTAGTAAATCCCCAACTCTTTGCAGCTTCATTGAACTTCTTAAATGACCTCCATGGATGTTGTTCGAATACTTCTTTCAAGCTCATTTATGTAAAGTTAAAGATTTTATTCTAGGCTCAAGCGCGTTCATTGAACGCGGTACCATGCGAATATAGTCACAAATGGTGGCATATAATCTGCACCCGAGCCTGTTGGATTTGTTGTGAAAGTATGTGAATGATTTCCTCCTGGTTCAGTTGGTCGAAAAGTCTTTTTTGCTGCATTGTTATAAGATGGAGATAAAACGTCATTGCCAGCTTCATACTCTGAGTTGTATAATGGGTGGTCTCTTAATGAGTGGCTATGGTCGCCAGAAAAGTTTGTAGTTCCTGTATGAGTGTGCGGTGGAAGGTTTGCTTCAGTAATTTTCTTCGAACCTCCTGTTTGCTTTGAATATCTAGCACAGTATAAGAATTTATCTACAATCTGTTCCCACGTACCGAAACCCAGAACTGTTGCTGGATTTATTGAGTTCATTGACGTATAAATAGAACCTATAGGATATAATGTTTGAAGTATTTCTGTCTTTAATGTTTGAAGCTCTGTTTTGTCAGCTTTCTTATCTAACATTGCTGGTAGTTCATATGCTTCAAAGTTTCTGGCATGATCTTCAATATTCCTGCAACTCTTATCTAAATTGTTAAGAGTATCTTTTACGCTTGTACTTGGATTCTCTAATGGTGCACTTGAACCAAGGTCAAAGTTCAATATTATGTCGTCTGCTCTAACAGTAGTGAAGGATTTATGTGTATGGTTCTTGTCAGCTTTACTGTCTAACATTGCTGGTAGTTCATGTGTTTCAAAGTTTCTGACATGACCTTCAATGTTCATACATTTACTATTTAAGGAGTTTAGTGTATCTTTTACGCTTGTACTTGGATTCTCTAATGGTGCACTTGAACCAAGGATATAGTTCAATATTATGTCGTCTGCTCTAACAGTAGTGAAGGATTTATGTGTATGGTTCTTGTCGGCTTTACTGTCTAATGTAGCTTGAAGTTCATTTATATCGGAGATGTTGTGTTTATGAGATTTCAAAACTTTGTTCATTGCTTCGAGTTCAACTTTGTCAGCTTTACTTTTAATAGCATCTTCAAACGTTATTTTTGCCTTAACTCTCAAAGTAAATCTTGGTTCAACTAATACACCGTTAACATTGAAAGTAGAGGCATAAATTTCACCGGTATAACCAAATGCTTCTGGTGCTTTAGCTACATCATACTGTACAGTACAGCTTATGTCATAACCTTTAGCACGAATGTATTTATATCTTCTTTCATTAACATTTTTTGTCTTCGCTTCATCACTTCGTGTTAAATATCCATGGTAGTCCGTTATAATCTGTTCGTCTGAAGTTATATAATGAACATGGTTTTTATCTGCTTTACTATTTAATGTAGCTTGAAGTTCATTTATATCGGAGATATTGTGTTTATGTTCTTTATCTGCTTTTTCGGCTAATTTCTCTTCTATCTCATTTATTTCAAGTTCATGCCTACCACCACCTCCCGAAGAAGTATTTTTCTTCAGCTCTTGAAGAACGTCCACTTCGCCATCTTTGGTGTCAATAATGAGACTTTGAGTTAAAACCTTTCCTGTCTTAATGGATGTTTGTAAAACTTCTTCTTCACCGTGTTCGGGGTCATGGTCGTCATCATATCTTGTGAAATCAGAGATGTTGTCATACATTAAGCATATCTGTCTCAAAAGTTCTGCTATTTGAAACTGGAACGAAAGATATACAGAACTTTCATCATCTCCTAAAGTCAAGTCTGCTTTCTTAAGTATTTCTTGAATGTATGCAATGAGAACAGAGTACCTTGGAAAATATTCGAACAATATTTCATTAGCTGTTGGTTTTGGTGGTTCTTCTGGAGTTTCTGTTGTTTCAGTTCCTTCTGTTGGAGTTTCTGCATCTCTTGACTTCAATGCTCTTGCTCTCAAAGACCTAAATGTTAGAGCACCGGGTTTTACAAAGGACTTTATAAATGCTTTAATAGTTCCTGGTAAGTTATTGTTAGCATTAAGTAAGTTCCTTATGCTTCCATCATGTACGTCCATAGCACTATGTAAAAAATCTATACTTTTCTTGTAGTCAGCAATAGACTGACTGTGATTTTTTAAAGATTTGTCAATACCTTTAAGCCAATCTTCATGCATGTCTGATACTGAGCCAAGAATATCATTTGCTTCCTTTAGTGTATTTTGTGCTTCTTGTAAAGTATCCAATCCCGTACGTGCATTGTTTGCTATACGTCTTACAGTATCTATTTGACTCCTTGTTTCTTGCATCCAACCAGATAAAGTTTTAATAGTATCCGAACCATTTGAAATGAAGTTCAAAGCATTTTTAACGTCATCTAAAGCTTCTTCACCAAGTACTGCCCATATCTTTCCGATTTGGTATTGAAGAACTCCATATGAAGCAGCTGTTAAACCAGTATTTATAAGGTCCCATATCCATGATTTAGCAGTTTTTCCATCCTTTCCATCCTTTCCATCCAAACCGTTTTCGCCTTGAGGTCCTTGTATTCCTTGTATTCCTTGTGGTCCTTGTGGTCCGGTGTCACCCTTCTCTCCTTTCAGTTCATCTTTATGTTCGTTATAATATTCTAATGTCATAAGGTGTACATCATTACTGCTACCAGCAACGCCGAGAATTTGTTTCTCATTCATGACTAAATTCTTTAGGCATTTAATGTTGTCGTCAAATCGAAAGCTCTTTAACAATTCAATGAGAACATTTAATACTTTCACTAATGAGGCATCTACTGTAGAATTTATATATTGCACCGTTCCATCATTTATGATGGGAACCTTGCTTGTTGTAATGAATGGGTCATAAGTGTTAAAAGTATCGAAATCAATGACTTTTTTAGTTTTTCCATCGTCAATGACTAAATCATTGCCTTCAATGGTTAAAGTTGAGTTTTCGTTTACTAGTTCATGTGCTCTTCTTGCTTCATTTGTTTCATACGCATATGCAGCAATAGTCATATTTTAATGAGAATAAAATGTTGTTCTATTTGCAAAGTACAGACCCAAACGAATACGGGACAGTAAAGCTACAAACAAACTTAGGTCTTCAGAATGAAGCGCTTGCTTTCAGAGTTGTTGACTTTAATACTATCGCAACTTTTGTCATAACAGATGAAACAGATTTCATGGAGTTTGAAATAGATGACAAAAGAAGTTTTATAACATTTCCTAACAGAGCAGAGTATAGAATAGATAAAATTGCTGGAGTGTTAAATGCTCTCATAAATGAAGAAACTATTGACAACATAGATGTCGAACTCTCTTCTGAGGGAACATTGAAGTTCAGTAGCAAGAAAGAGTTCAAGATAACACGAATGAGTCATAGAGTTCAACTTCTTTTAGGAGCATACCATATGACATTTCCTTTGAAAAGTGTTGACAAAACGATTGAGATGAAATCTGTTCCATATGTATGTTATGGTAATTGTTTGTACATTGAGTCAAAAATAGCTAATGTCACAGGCATTTCAGGAGTTAATAGTAAAGGTTCAGTAGAATATAAATCTTTCTGTTATGCAGTCAATTCAATGTTCATTCCAAACGTTCCTGTCATAGCAACTCATTTAGGTAAATGGGTTCGCATTAGTCCTCATAATTTGAAAGACATGCAATTCAGACTTGTTGACTTTCAAGGAGAGCCTGTAGAACTGAAGGCACCAGTGCGAATGACTGTTGAAGTTGACTTTTTAGAAAATATTAAATGCAACAGCTTACAAGAGAACTCAGAGCTAAAAATATAAAGTATGAATGTTATGTATTAGGTCATGAACTTTGGTTGTTGCTGTTTGATGAAACAAATGAGTTAGTTATGTCAGTCAAGAGAACAGAAAAATATTGTGTTAGTGAAAACTGCACCAAGTCAATAAGATTAGGTTTGCATTATGAAGATGAGTTCGATACTGTTGAAGAAGTTTTGGATAGATATTACAAATTGCTAACTTGAAATTTTTTGACTGACGGCGCAAAGCGCCAAGATGGGCTCAAAGAGCCTCCTGACTGCTTTAATTTACTAAAACATATTTCAAACAAAGTTTATATTCTGTTGAAAGTTTTGTATACTCGTTCGAATATTTATACTTAAACTCAACTCCTGGAGTACCTGGTGTTTCAATGATGCGGATGTTACCTATTTTCATGAATGGTGGCGTTTGACCACAGCATTCGATTTCAGGGTCGAGATAGTCAATGACACATTGTTTCCCTGTTATTCGTGATATAACATTTTCAAGGTCCTCCTTTGTTAGAATTATTTGGTTCTTGCTTATAAGATTTGTCAAAAGCTTCTTATCGTCTTTGAGTAAAATTGTTTGGTATAACTGAAGAAGGTAATGGTCTACGTTATCTGAAGGATTTGTTTGAACATTTGTGTAAGGGTTGTCGTTGGCTTCTCTTGAAAGAATTTGGTCCAGTGGTGGATACTCTAACTTAACATCTGATGTAGCGTTAGCGTTTGAAGCTGAGTTTAAATTCACGGATTTCAGTTCTGGTTCTTTTTCTTTCAAACACTCTGAACTATAGTTCTTTATGACAATATTGTTTGTCGTTCGTGAGTCAACATTTGATGTTGGTTCAATTGGAACATTAACGGCACCAGCTAAGATGGATTTGCTTCTCATTTCATATAGAATAAAAACCTTTTATATGTATGAAATGAACAATATACTCGACAAGGGTTTGAATGTAAAGCTAACGAATGAAAATATTGTTGAATTCACTGAGACAGGTGCTGTGTATAAAGATGTAGAACTACTGAACAAAAGAGCTAAGGGAAGAAGCAGGAATATGAACAAAGGGTGGAAGCCTATAAAAATTTATGTCAATGATGGCTCAGGAGGTTCAAACATAAAGTATGCAGAAAGTTATAGAGTATATGCTCTCAAAGGTGAAAAGCCTTCATTTAAGAACAGCTATTCTAACGCATATCCTCAAAAGCTAACGGATGGGGAAGTGGATGATATGAATGACAGCAAAAATATTAACAGAAATGGCGACAGAGATGCATGGAATTTGTTTACCATCAGTCAATTGAAGGTTAAACTTTAAAACAATGTTGGTCGTTCCCATGGAATATTTTTGACTTTAATGGTATTAGTCATGATATGAATCTCAAGGTATGAACGAGGAGAGATGAGAGACTTATATGCTTCCCAAATTTCTTCAAAAGGTAATGTTATACCTGACTGTTTCCAAATGAGTTCAATATCATAACGTGAGAAACCTTGAAAGATAACGAAGTCAGTTATGAGACGTTTTATGTTTAAAGCTAAAAACCTCCATGTTTGCATAAGTATTGCTACAGTTAAATGGTAATGTCTGACTTTAGTAATGATGTTAGCTAATGGTGAGTCAGGCTTTGACACTAAACCTTTTCCGGCGAAGTCGTCGCAAACGAGCAGAGTGTTTGAAGGATATTTTTTGAAGGGGTATTTTGAAAGTTTTGATAGAATGTAGTTTGTCAGTCGTTTCATATCGTAAACTCCTGAGTATTGACGTAAGTGGTGTTTGTCAATAATTCTTTCCATCTCCTCAGAAGTCTTTTGCATTCCTGACTGTATAAATTCAACGATGGCATAATATTTCCTCTTACGTCGAATGTAACGTTGAAGAAATTCAATGAGTTCACTGTCTGGAACTTTAACGATAGAGGCTTGAACTTTTGACATGAATGTTTTCGCTGTTGAGTCCATAGAGTCTGAAGTTGCTGATATAATGATTTGGTCATAGTAAGAGTCGTTTCCTAAACGCTCTGTTATGAGTATATGACGAATGAGGTTAAATGTCTTACCTGAACCCATCTTTCCACAATAGAAATACACACCATTTGAACAGAATTCATAATCTTTGCTGAAAGGAAGAATGAGAGAAGAGTTAAGTTTGTCTGTAGTTTCATTCATGTCTTCATCTACGTCATGTATTAAATGCTTCATTTTATCTCCATTAAAAATGCAAGTCAGAAATATTCAGAACATAGCACCGAGTCTAACTGACAAGAGTATAAAGATATACTATGAACACGTTATGATGAAACCAACCAAAATTCAAGAAAGTCAGTATACTTATGAATATCCAAGACACTGGGTAGAGTATGTAGGAGGTGAGAAAGCTATTGAAATCAGACAGGTTCGAAGTATTCCCAGGAAGGACAATATTATTGAAGAACTTTAATGTTTTGAGGTATAATGATGAAACAAAGAAGCAAGATAGTTTTCCTGTTGCTGTGTATGTGAACTTAGATACAGGAGATGACATGAAAGTTTTTAATACAAAGCTTCAAACGGTAGTGAGAGAACAACTGACTGCGGAAGGGCATCCATTACCTTCAGAAGTTACCATAGCATATAATTTTGAAACAAACTCAATAGATTTTAAAGTCATCTCTGCAAAGAAGTCAGGATTTACATTTAATGAAGCAGATGTATATTCGAATGAAAACTTCAATGCTATTGCATGGTTAGATAATGACGATTGCTTTAAGAAAATCTTTAAATTCAGTGACTCAAAGATGTCAATAGATGACCTTCGTGGAATGTTACCATCGACGTTTACAGTAGAAGGTTCAGCAGGATTGCTTACAAGATTGTCAATTGGTGGTATTTGGTCTCGTGAAAACATTGTTATAAAATCCAGTATAAGTGAATTTGCTGAAGAATCTATATTATGTCTTTCAAACTACATGTATTCGCCGCCGAAGCATTATAGTATAACAAACTTTGTCAGTAAGTTTAACATAAGACTTGTCGAACCTTCTTCAATGAAAGATGTTGTGCTACCTAAAGATGGAAAGGATGGACTCATTATTGAGATGATTTTAATAGCATATTAAATGAGCTTGTTCTTGAAGGTCATTCATGATGAAATAACTGTTGTAGAAGATGTTAGCAATTGTTCAGACATTTTGAAGCGTATAGATGATATAAGAAAGAAGTTAGATAGACCGCAAAGCGGTGAGGGCGAAGCCCGTGAGAACGCTTATGTTTCATTGACTTTCTCCAGTAACGAGAACTTTTATGAGATAATATTGAAGAGAGATGATTTTAATATGGTGTAAATGGTAGCTTGGGCAGCTTTAGGCGCAATGGGAACAAAAGCATTAGCATTTGGAGCAAAAGCACTTGGAGCTTATGACGCAGTAAATAAAATGAGTGGAGGAAGGGTTTCGAAGACATTAGATGCAAATAAAGGGAAGATTGGAGGCTGGGTTGCAAAGAAGTTAAGATTAAATAAAATAGGGCTCATAAATAAAGCATCCAATTTGGTTGCGACTGAGTCAGAAAATGCTTTAGGAAAGGATGATGAGTTTGCAAAACATGCAAAAGACTTTAATGACCAGATGAAAGGTGAAACAATGCATTTAAATAGAGTCGATGGAACTAAAGAAAATGTTTCTTCTCCACCAGTAGTTCTTCCGTATGGTCCCTATGGAATGTATGGAAACCCTTACGAAAGACCATTTGACCCATTGACTGGTGGAAGTAACTGGTATCATTACGGCCGAAGAAGAAAGACAGTCAAGTTGGAGACGGACGTAAAGAAAGCAACTAAAAAGAAACCAAGGAAGAGAGTTATAAAGCAATGAATTCAACAGGGTGAAAAAACAGGTGAGAAAACAGGTGAGATCTCACCACTTCACCTAAATTTATTTTTGTGCTATGTTTTCATACGTGTGAGGGTGGTGATATCATTATTTTTTAAGTTTATTTTTTATTTTATTTGGATGTAAATGACGAAAACTATTGAGATAACAAACTACAACGGTCATGAGTTCAAGAATTTGTTCTTCGTTCCTCGTGAAAATACATTCTATCAGATACGAGGGAGAAAGGGTAAAGTTAGTTTGAGCGTTTATGAAGGAATGAAGAATGGAAAGTTTATACAAGCATACGATACAAACGGTAAACGTGTTTCATTAGCTTTGTCAAAACTTACTAACATTCATTTTGACAGTGATTTTGACCTATATGAAGAAGAAAGTGAGTCAGAAGATTATGAGCTGTTATGTGAAGCACAGCAATGGGAGGAGTTGCAATACTTTTGTAAGTGAGAACGCTTATTTTTTACATTAACGAAGTCGTTTGTGAAAACGTTAGTGAAGTGAAGTGGTTGGCGGCTTTGTAAATATTTAATGTTAAGTTAGTGTTGTCGTTTGTGTTGTAAAAATATATGTTAATGGTTTTGTAAATATTTAAGGTTAAGTGGTGTACGGAGGCGCGCAGTGCCTCAGTACACGACTTAGCCATACTAACTTCACTTGAGGAGTGGGGCAATCTCATGAAAGAATCACATGCATCATGCCGCGACCTCTACAAGTGTTCATGCGAAGCACTGGATGCACTTGTTGAAACAGGTCTGAAGAACGGTGCACTCGGTGGACGTCTCACCGGTGCAGGCTGGGGTGGCTGCACAGTATTCATTCTTTCACCAGATTCAGATCCTTCGAAGTTCATTGAGGCAGTTAAGAAACAATTCTATTCACCACGTGGTGTTAAAGACCCAATCATTTTTGCTACAAATGCTGGCGAAGGTGCACAAGCTTTCAAATTCTAAGCTTATTACTTTATGTAAACAATTTATTTTAATTTAATTTTTGATTTTTCTTTTATATTTCGAAACATAGCGATATAGATCATACATCACATATTCACAGTCATTAGCGCTCTGCACCGCTTAATTAGAAGGTTAAATTTTGATTTAAAAAAAATCATCAAAATCTCAATATATCTCTGAGTTAAACAAAAACATGTTTTTATAATTTTCCACTTAAGTAAACGCAATTTACTTAAACTTAACTTTAAAAAGAAAAATAATTAGAAGTTCGAGAATGATTTTTTTTACACTTACACTTTTAATTCTTTTAGTGATTTTGAGATGGCGGTGGTGGTGGTGGCAAATTGTTATGTGAAGGTGGCATCTGAGGTTGTGTTAACGGAGCAGAATTATTCATTGGTTGTTGAGATGGAGGGTAATTGTTCATTGGAGGAGGTTGTTGAGGGTAACCATTCATTGGAGGTTGATTTGGAGGATGGTTATTCATTGGTGGTGGAGCTCCATAAGGAGAAGGTTGCTGATATGGAGATTGAGGCTGCTGTTGAGGGGCATATTGGTAAGGATATGGCTGCTGACCTTGCATTTGTGGTGGAGGAGGAGCGCCACCATACGGAGGAGGTTGTTGATAATTATAATTTTGTTGAGGATAAGGTTGTTGTGGCTGATTCGGGTAATACGGTTGCTGCTGATTCTGTGGTGGCTGTTGGGGAGGTTGATTGCTGTAATAAGGCGGGTAACCAGGTGGTGGATTTTGATTGTATTGAGGTGGAACCATTTCCTGGTTATTAGCATCCTTGGCCTTATCACTTGAGCTTGAAGATTCAATTTGGAAGCCACTTTTCTCGAATTCCCTTTCTTCACCTCCGCATGGAGTTAATAAGTGAATAAAAAGATACATCAGAATGAAAGGTAGGAAAATTATGCTCAAAGCAAGGCCAAAGAGGAACATGACGAGAATTAAATAACAAATTCCTAATGGATCGCATTCGCCATTACAGTTGCAGTTATCGCCGCATTCGCATTTGCAACATTTGCAGCAACCATCACAACAATGACAATGACAACATTTACCGTAGTGATGTTTAGAATAAAATTTCGCAATTTTATGGTAAGTTACATTTGTACAGCAATTGTAGCAGCATTCCATCTTGCATCCAGCTCTGTATGCTCTGTTTGGATAAATGCAACCGACAATTGAATCCAAAATACCGAAAACAATAACACTGATGAAATAAATAAGAAAAACTGCTCCAATTGGATGGTCTTTAAAGAAATTACTTTTTGGAACTACTTCTGTTGGTGCTGGTGTTGGATATGGAGTATATTTTGGTGTGGAATCATCAGATTTTGAGCTATCTGGATATATAATCAATCTAGTACCTGTATTATATGAACCATCGTAGCTTATGAATACATATTGGCCTTTTTTAATGTTAAGACTGAGCGCGAGAAATTTGACATTATAATGATTCATATAGGAAGTAAATGTTCCATTGTATGCATTGTAGAATGTGTACGTATATTGTCCACTAAATTCACTATCTGAAGAACCAGAAATTAAAAGAGAACCAGTTGTATTGTACATTGTTACGAAGTTATAGATATGGTTCTCTTTCCATGGGAAATCGCATGAACTATCAGTGCCAATTTTGATAGTGAAAGAATTGTCGTTTGTTGACCTGGTTCACTATCAAATGCTACGTATTGAAATCGGATTTCTCCAGGTTCTTGTAACTGCAAGGATATTGTTGAGCTATTGTATGAATCATCATATAAGAAATCTGAAAATTTGGTGAGTTGAGTGATTTGTGTTTCATTTGGTTGAAGATGTTGCTTTTCTGCTGTATGGCTTCCATCAGACAAGGGGAAGTCCCATTGAATATACATGTGCGGTGACAATCGCTGAGAATATTCAAAATTAATTGTTTTACAAAAGGTTGTTTCATTAGCATTAAATGTAATAAATTCAAGTTCTCCATATTTAACAGTAAGATTATAGGTTTCGCAGGCTGATAAGGAGAACGGAATCAAATAAAACATTTGATAAAATAAATAATGAAATTCAGAAATATCTGAAAAAAATTTAGTTCTAGAAAAATGCCTAAAATTAATCGGCAACATCCTATGATGAAGGAATTTTTAACAAAATCTGAATCCATTCAACATAACGTCGCGGCTTTGAAAAATTCTGAATAAAACGTTAACATTTCCGAAAATTATTATCGGCAAAACAATTGTATGTATAAGTAAAAGCAATTTCTATTATATTAAATTGAAAAATTCAATATGTGGTCTGATCGTGGCAATTGAACTCTGAAAAATCCGGCAGATTTTAACCTTCTAATTAAGCGGTGCAGAGCGCTAATGACTGTGAATATGTGATGTATGATCTATAATGCTCTGTTTCGATATATAAAAGAAAAATCAAAAATTAAATTAAAATAAATTGTTTACATAAAGTAATAAGCTTAGAATTTGAAAGCTTGTGCACCTTCGCCAGCATTTGTAGCAAAAATGATTGGGTCTTTAACACCACGTGGTGAATAGAATTGTTTCTTAACTGCCTCAATGAACTTCGAAGGATCTGAATCTGGTGAAAGAATGAATACTGTGCAGCCACCCCAGCCTGCACCGGTGAGACGTCCACCGAGTGCACCGTTCTTCAGACCTGTTTCAACAAGTGCATCCAGTGCTTCGCATGAACACTTGTAGAGGTCGCGGCATGATGCATGTGATTCTTTCATGAGATTGCCCCACTCCTCAAGTGATGCACCATCCATCTTCAAGACACGGTGTGCTTCACCAACAACGTGGACTGCACGATCTCTCAGAACAAGTTTTCCTTCGCGCTCTGGAAGCTTCTTAGCAAGATCCATTGCACCTTCCCAGCCGTACTTAGAGACAACATCGCCGATCGTCTTCGCACCTGGCATCATGAGCTCTGCTGCACGGCGGACTTCTTCGACACGCCTGTTGTAGCAGTCATCTGCTGTCGCGAGCTTTGCAGCTGCAACGCCTGAGTGTGCAACAACGAAGTGTGCTGGTGGGAGCTTGACTGGTCTTGCTGCGATCTTTGGAACGAATGAGATGACGCATGCATGATCTTTCTCGCCGAGGATAGAAATTGCTTGGTCCATGCCGCCACACATGACACCGACGCGGTGCTCTGCTTCAACACATGATTCAACAAGCTTGCCCTTGTCTGCACCACCGCCTGTCATAAGGTCGAGACCCATAGCAATCGCGCACAGAAGTGCTGCAGATGATGACAAACCTGATGCGAGAGGAACATTTCCGAAGATGAGGACATCGAGACCACCGACCTTGCGGTTGAATAATTCGAGGAATGTCTTGACTGCACTCTCAACATACTGGACCCAACCGGATCCTTCGAGCTTGGAACTGTTGACTTTGACATCTGAGCCTTTCAAGTTTGAGTCGAGGTTTCTGATGCGGATGATGCCAGATTCGTTCTTAGCAAGGAGTGCTGTTGTGTACTTGCCCTCGAGCGCCATTGGGAATACTGAGAATCCGCAGTAGTCGATGTGCTCACCAATGAGATTGACTCTTCCTGGAGCGCGGCCTGCATACTCTGGTTTGACACCGAACTCTTTCTCGAAGACTGGAATCATCTTCTGGACAATATCGTCGTTCGCTGTGAATGACATTATCGAAAAATGAAATTCACTTGCTCACTTCATCATGATGATGGGTCATTCTCAATTTCAATTTCTTATCAATATTTATGAACTATTTTTGTTATATCTATTAAATACATATGAAAATAGATCATCACTGTTATCATTCATGTTATCATTCATTTTCATTTGTTTCATTGAAAAAATATTTTGAGAGAACCCGTGGTTTTCAAGATAACAGGTTTTCGACGGGTATTACACTCATTGGATGCACAATGTCTGTTTAAAACATGTTTCTGATATATATTATCCGTCCTTTCATGACAGTTTTTTCTGAGTTTTGTGAAGGCTTTTTATTCTTATCAATTTTCAAACAACCCGTCAAAAAATACTTTATCTGAAAAATTTTCTCTCTTACATGACCAAACACACGCATAACAACACGCAAACCTTATTTGCACACTTAACAAACAATAATTACTAAAATTTCAAAAGATTTGATATTATCAAAATGAATTTATTGAGAAACCTATATGCTTGTATTCCTGAAAATAACGTATATTTATGTGTAACAATCTCCACATATTCGCAAGTTTCAATTTGAAGAAAACTTCATTAATTTTAATAAAATATTAAACGTTAATGCATTATTTTACCTGAATGCAACAATAAGTTTAATAATATCAAAAACAGTGATTATTTAAATATATCATAATAAAAAAATAAGATTTAATAAACAAAAAAATACAAATCAAACAAAAAAACAAAAATAAATCCATTAAGCCTTAGTTGTAGCCTTATTCTTAGATGTTTCAACCATCTCTCTCAACTGGCCTACATCGATATTAAATTTATTTGCAAGTTGGTTTACATCTAAAGATCCGTAATGTAACAACAAGTCATTAAAGTCATCTCTGATTATTTGTTTCTTCATTTCCAAAGTAATATTTGCCAACTTCTTTCTTTGAGCAATTTCCAATTTGTTCTTAATATAAATTTCAGCTTTCTTCTCTCTTCCTTGTTGTTTCTCGACTTTATCTCTATTCTTCTTCTCTAAAAGTTGTTGTTGTCTCTCAGCATTTTGATCTCTCATCTGGTTTTTCATTGAAACAATTGCCATTTGTTGTTGAATCTCTTGTTCCTTCTTTTCTTTGGCTTCTTTAACTCTTTGTTGTTCATCATCCCATTGTTTCATGATCTGCGAGACTCTTTCTTCTTCTTTCTTTTCTCTTTCTTCCAACATTTTCTGTCTTTTCTCTTCTTTTTCTTGTCTGATTTGTCTTTCGTTTCTTCTCTTTTCTTCTCTTTCTTCGCGAGCTTGTTGTAGCTTCTGTTCAACTCTGTTCTCGCTTTCTTCCATCTTCTTGATGAGCTGCTCCCTTTCCGTGTTGACTTTCTCTTGTGCTTCTTGGATTCTTTGAACCATCATGTCACTTTTGGCTCTTAATTCTTTGGCCTTCTTCATTTTCTCTTCTTTCACTTTTGTTAATCTTTCCTTTAGTTCTTCTTCCTTCTTTTCCATTTCTTTCTGCTTTTGGAGCTGCATTTCCTGCTGCATCTTCTGTCCGTTTTCGAATCTTTGCTTCTGTAAATTGAAAGCAATTCTGTTTTTCTCTCGAATTGCGTTGATTGTCTGCATTCTTCTCTTCTGGAACATCATCTCTCTTTGTACTTGTTCGCGCTGTCTGTCAATTATCTTTTGCTGGTCTTCTTGGAACTTTTTCTCCATTAGTTCCCTTCGTTCGTTCGCTTTTTGAAGACGATTTTTTTCTGCTTCCATCATCATCATTCTTTGCTTTTGTTTTTGTTCCTGTAATAATCTCCTGTTCTTCTCTATTTCCTCTTCCTGTTTGATTTTCATCTCTAAGATCTTTTGTTCTCTTTCATTTATTCTTTGTTGGATTTGCTGCTCTTTTTGTTCGCGTTTTTCGGCTTCTGCTTGGGCTTTTGCCTTCAGTTCTTTCTCGTATTCGGCTTGTCTTTGTTCTCTCTTCTGTTTCTGTTCTTGTTCTTCTTTCATTATTTGCTCATGAATCAAAAGATTGACAATTAATTGAACAACTTCACGTTTTTGGAAGTCTTCAATCTTTTGTAGTTCCTCCTCGTGTTGTTTTTTCTCTTCATCTGTCATTTGGCTCCGTCTGATCGATTTTTGTTTTTCTGCTTGAAAATCTTCATCATTTTTCTGGCTATCAAGGATTTTCTTGCGCTCTTTCTTGATCTCTTGTATGATAGCTTTACGTCTGTTCTCCATTGCTTGGCGCGCTTTCTCTTTTACTTCAGGAAATTGCGCATACTGAGATAAATCATCATCAGTTATAACTTTCACTTGGTGTGGCTGTACAATGAGATCTTTCATAGCTTTGATTGTGGCTTCCTCTGTAAAAACTGGAATTTCATTTGGATACTCTTCTTCGAAATTTAAAATGGAGATTTCATGATCTGGTTTATGTGATTGCGCGTTTTTTGGTGGATTATCTACTCTCTTCTTTAAAGGTTTTGATAATTTATTCGGTTTAACCGCAGAAAACATGCCATTTACTAGATCGGGTTTATTGTTTGCTTCTGTATTAGCTTTTGCATCGGAATTTGTTGAATTGTTTGCATTGTTTTTGTTATTGTTATTAACTGAATCTGAAACCTGTTTGATTTCTTGCTTAATGGTATTAGAAGATTTGGAGTCACCAGGGCAGTGAACGTTTTTCTTAGGGTCTGTTAAAAAAACATCGCTGCCATCATTGTTATTCATTTTGTCTTGATTCTTGCAACGTATAAAAACGTGACATGTTTTCCTTTTCAAAATCTTTGAAAAAGTGTTTATATTTTTATCACGCAGAGAAAAAAAATTAAAATTATTTCGTGATGTATATATAGTTAATATAATGATATATAATTTCTTCTAACGTCTTGTAATGTATTGAAATTAATTCAATATATTAGAACAATAGCGAGATAAATTATAATTAATTATTATTTTGAAAAAAGACGCTCAGCAATTTTCGCTGCTATGAAAAGTGTCAAAACTATGGATTTTCGAATTCAAAAAACTGCTTTTTTATAAAATTGCCAAAAAAGTTAGACGTTTTAGAGCAACTATCGAGGGGGTATACATATTATTAATTATTTACTTTTATCTGATTCCCGCTTTGTGCGGAAATTTCAAGGTTCCTCAGGAATTGATTCTTTTGTTGCCTTATCACAAGCATCTCATGAGAATGCCTTTCTATGTATTTGAAATTATTTAAATCCAAACTTTTAATCATAAAATATTGATTTCTACTGAAAGATGATGTTATCCTAATATGTTCGTGAGTTACATTTCTCTATTCCATAGTACTACTATGGAAAGTCCTATAAGAATATAATGTGAAAAAGTAGTAGGATATGATGGGTTTTGTGACTTTTTTTGTAAACGTAAGAATTCATACAATATCGAGCGATTTTGTATCATTTTTTTTAACATATGAAGTAAAAAATGTATGATTCTTACGGTTTTTATTCTTACGTTTTTGAATAAATCAAGATTTAAAAAATTTTCAAAATTGTAAGACATTTACACTCAGCCCATACATAATGAAATAAAAAATAAAAATATATTTATAAAACCATTAAAAAAATTAAAGTTATTTTTAAAAATAATTTATTTTTTTATTCTTACATAAATGACCCAACAAGTAAAACTGGATAAAATAGATTATCGAATTTTAGAGGATGGTGTTCCTGTTTATATTCAAAGATTTAAAGGGAAGCAATATTATAGAATTGTTAATCCTGAATACATAAAACATTTATTTAAAAAGGAAGACTGTGAATTATTAAACGCTAATGAATATGAAACCAATAAATCAAAATTGAAATATAAATATATTGGAAGTGATGAAAGGTGTAAAGATAAAGATAAAGTTTATTCAGTTTCATATAATGAATGGAAAACCAATAAGATAAGAAAACATTTAGGAGATTATGGGAAATGTTCTGAATTCTTTAAATCTAGTATATACGAGAGAGTAAAAGAAATTAGAAATAATTATTTTCATGAATGATAAATGAAACCAATTTTAAAAATTCATGTCTTACATTTTTTGAATAATTTATTTTTTTAATTCGTATGAAAATGAGTGTCAAGACTAACGACGTTAAAAAATTGGGATTCACAAACGAGGAAATAAAGGATATATTAGAGGAGGCGAGTTATGAAGTTAATAAATATTATTTAAGAAATTGTCAAAAATTCGCGGAGTTATTAAATGATTTAGATTATGATGGAAAAATGAATAAAGATGATGTTATAAATTTCTTATATCCCACATCTGAAGAAGAAAAACCTAAAGAACCTGATGTTTTCCCTGAATATTATGAAGAACGGATTAAAGATGATGAATATGATGAAATTGAAAGACTGGAAAAAATAAGAGATGAAATAGATGAAAAAATTAAGGAATTAAGAGAAGTTGAAAAATATAATGAAAATGAAGTAGAGGGTTTAATGAATATCCCAGCTTCAGAATCAGCAGTTCAGAAATCTCATGAAGAAAGATATAAAAATTACTTTTTGGAATCTACTAAAAATTTATTAGATGGTGAAATAGATGAAACACTTTCAGAAGAAGGCACAAAATTTATTCATAAACATAAGTTACAATTTATTGACGATGGAGATTATCCATGTATATTACTTTCACCTCCTCTTGATTCTGAAAAATTCAAAAAAGCACTGAAAAATGTAACATATGCAACAAATACGATTAAGAAAGAAGACCATGATATTTACACAAATTATTATTTAAATAAATGTACAGGTGTTGATAAAGTTTTTGATTTGTTAGATAAAATATCAAAAGAAACAATTGGTACATATAAAATTTTATGCGATTGTGGTTTCATTATTGAAGATACTAATAATGTTTCATATGAAAGAACAGCACCGAAGGAAGACGAAGTTGAAAGGTCTATACCATTCGTTATTAAGAATATAAAAGATATGAAAACTTATAAACATTATATTTATTCATTTATTTCAGAAAAAATGGAAGCAACCCATAAAACATCATCTCATCATTTTATAGCTATTCATACATTCCTTTTCAAAGTTGTGAAATTAAATAAGACAGGAATTAGATTTAATGTATCAGGGTACGCATTCTTGAGTAAATTAAAATGTATTCGTCACGTCGCAGATGATAAAAATTTATGTGTTCTTAATTCATTTTATGGACTTTAGCCCTGGACTTTAAAAAAATAAACTTTATTTTTATTTATTTTTTAATTTTTTATTCTTACATAAATGAACAAAAACGGAACAGCTAAAATGAATGATAATCAAATAAGAGCCGAAGGTAGAAGGTTATTTAAACGCTTCTATAACATTCCTGATGGTGTTAATCCTAAAACTCGTAGAAGTTATTTAAATGAAGCCATAGATGCATATGAAGGATTTGACATTTCATCAGAAAGTGAGAGGTTAGCAAGAATGTTAAACGTTAATATTGATTTTTATTATTGTGACCCTCAACCAGAAGACGTAGACATAAATAAGGTAGACTTTCCATTAGTGGAATCAATAATGATAGATCCAGAATTTGAAACAGTAAATATTTTATTAACACAGAGTCCATGTGGAAAACTTCACGCTGACAGAATTACAGACGTTGAAGCACTCACAGGATATAAAGTTTGCCCCTTTTGCAAAGAAGAAGTATATTCTATCCGTGATGACCCAGAAAGGAAAAACCAAAGAAGATTTTTAAACATTGTGAGAAATGTAAAGAAAATAATGGAAGATTAATTCAAGACGTTCAATTGCAAAACACACAACAACCATATGCACCACATATCACGAAACAGAAGATATATCAATGGCTATTAGCTCACAATTTGCAGGAATATTATAAACCAACAAGATATTATATTACTTTTGACTTCGAAACATTAGAGACTAAAGAAGAACTTCAACTTTCTGAATGTGCAACTTTGAACGCTTACTTAAAACCATTTATGGTATCATCAACTGTCAAAATAAAGCCGCAAACGGACTCTTTGAGTCCTGAAGGTCTTTCAGACCGAAGCGGCGAGGTCGTAGACCGTGATAAAACATTTACGAGGAATTTTTGCTTAACATCAAGTGATTCGTTCATCTCTGATTGGATTGAATTTTTATTTTCAACCTGTTCATTAGTTGCTAAATCAAATATTGAACAATATGAAGAATTAATGAAGCCGCAAACGGACCAAACGGCGGGGACTTTGTCCCATACATTAAATGAAAAACAGAAGGAAGCATTTAAAGAACTTCTAGATGAGGAATTCAATAAAGTGAATATCATAGGTTTTAATTCGGGAAAGTTTGATTTAAATTTAATTCTTCGTGATTTAAACACTGCAAAATGGAAAATAAAATCAATGCTGGGTTCTTCTTCTCAATTTAAGCAAATCATTGTAAAGAAAACAAACTGTCCATATGAATTAAGATTTATTGACATCAGAAATTATATAGCGGGTGGAACATTAGACCAATTCACTCAAGATTTCGGAAACAATAAATCACGTGTTAAATCCTTTTTCCCTTATCAATTCATCACATGGGAGAATTACGAAGATGAATATATATAAAGTGGAACCATTCACTCAAGATTCATTTTATTCAGCATTAACTCAAGAAACAATATCCGATTCAGATTATCAAATATATCTCAATGATGCTAAAAATTTTGAGAATAGATTAGAATATTTTATTCATTATTGCAATAAAGACGTTGAAATTATGATTGACCCAATTGATAAAATTATTGAAGAAACATTTGTTTATAAAATTGACATGCTTCATAATCTTTCTTTATCATCGAATGCATCAATGATTCGTTACGCGTTAGCATATAAGAACTTCAATCCTAACGAAACATATCCAGAAGAAGAAAATGTGGAATCAAGTTTTGAATTAACAAAAAAGTATTGGAAATATAAAATTGATTCATATAAGAAACAAGATGAAAAAGCAGAAAGGGATACTAAAAACAATGTTTCAATGGATGACTATCAATACTATCACGATTTAATCCTTTCATCTAAATGCAAAATGTGTGGTAAAGCGTTTACATATGCTAATAAACCAACATTAGATAGAATCGATAATGAAAAACCACATACCAAAGAAAATTGTCAGTTAATGTGTTGTTATTGCAATGTCGTAAAATCAAATAAAGATGAAGATGTTCAACGTTTAAGAATCAATTTAAGAAATTATACATTAAAAAATAATTTACCAATGACTCTAGATTCAGTTGAAGCTTATCACATTCTCCGTAATGGAATTACTGGTGGTTTATCAAATGTTCAACATAGAGTAATCTTAAAGGAATCACGCACATTAATAAACTTTCATATAATCCAGAAACTAAAACTGTATCAAATGAGGACACTTCCAACATTATGACTCATTTCGTTGGTGTTGATTTTAATTCATTATATCCTTCATCATTTTCATCTAATCCTCATGATTTCATTCAATATACTGACCATAAAATGTATATGCCGGGAAGATTGAATGGTGTTATCATTTGTGATACAGCAACAAAGAAAGCAAAAGCACTGGGAATATTAAGAAGAAAAATACTTTATTCGTGGCTGAAGTAAAGGGTCACATTGATGAAAAATACATTAATGATTACATAAACTTTTTACCAATAATAAGAAACTTAGATATTATCACAGATGAAAAAACAATTGGCAGTTTTATGTATAATTACATGAAAT